TAATAGATACCATCCTCGTACACTTCTGCAAACGAAAGAATGGACAACGGGTAAAAGTTGATAAACACTATAATAGTTGACGCAAGAAAATTAAGCCGGATATGATACTATCATTTGTGGCAAGTTCCCTAATTAACAGATGTTCATGTAAGAGCAAAATCGTATTTATAAGATAATGTACTAAATGCTAAAAAAAAAAAATTAAATTTAGTCTTATCAAATATCCCCCTCTGGATGCAATTACCATTCGCAAAATTCTCGGCATCCCTTGCAACCAATTCTTTCAACGTACCCTGCTAAATATTGTTCCACGCTCTTTAAAGAGCCCCCCACAGATTTTCCTTTCATGGCGCACATTCTTATCTGTCTCTCCTCTTGAGTTCAGCCCATATTTTTTCGATGAAATTCAAGTCCTGACCCAGGAGGAGGGGTCACGCCATGCTTTGAAGGGCGTCTTCCTCTTCTTTTCCGGTCAGGAACCTTCTGCACGCCCGTGCGGTGTGTTTAGTACCATTGCCCTGCATAAAGGTAAATTACTACCGATTAAGCACTCCCGAGGGTACCGCATTAATTTTATGATAGGGAGATAGTTTTCGTTGCCCAAGATCCCAGCAATATTAATTAAATCTCCCACACCGGCAAAGGAGAAACAACCCCAAACTAACACGATACCTTCCCAAAGCCTCACTGCTGGAACCACATCATTTTTAATCCTTGTTCCTTCGGACAAAAAAATGAACGTTTTTGACCACAATACGCTTTTCTAGACTCCAGTGTCCAATTTTCATGTGCTTTGGCCCACTGAAGACGTTTTGTTTTGTTATCTCAACGAAGTGGTGCTTCCTAGGTACACTGGCCGTGGTAGTTAACTTCTTGTAAGCGCCTTTTTACGGCACTGACGGAGCTTTGTCTTCCCCAATTAAAAGCTGTGTTAAGTTCAGGGCTGTAAGATATATCTCTTACACTTGTTAATCTGTTTGATTATTAGTTGTGGGCTGCTGAGGGAATCCGAGATGGACGAGGGCGCTTGAGGTCTTTAAAATTCCGCATTCTTAAAATCGACGAACTGTTAGATGGACGATAGAATTTTTCACACCCACTCTATCGGCAACTAACCGCACTGAAAAACTTCCGGATGTAAAGTTACAATATCTGAATGTTTTTTTAATACCCAACGGCATCTCACGAGTCACTTCTAATAAGCAAAGTGCATAAATTATTATGTGGCGGTCAGCTGCTTGGGTTCACCTGGTTAGTTCGGTATCGTGAAAGGAGTTTTAGAGCGGCTCTCGCCGTAGTGTGGCCTTTCGGCACGAACTGTCTAGAGAGATGATTGGCAAAAAGCTATGCATCCTTTAGACGCTTTCGGTATCATGAAGTCAATGGCATAGTGGAGGGGGCAGCTGTATTAGTATGCTCCACCAAGCGCTAAAAAGCTTGCCGTTCTTCATCCGCCGCGTTAACCTTGTTTTGCAGTTTATTTTTTACTAGAGGCCAATCCTTTATCTGTTACTGAAGACAATATAACTTTGATCCATGGTTGAGGCATGTATGCGGCGGTCAGACGTGCCATCCGGCACTCGTAAATAAAATGTATTAGGGGTACACACTACACGACTTTTTATGGCAGCAGCGTGGACAACAACTAGCGCGGGGTTAATAAAGCGCGCAGCTTAGGAAATTTTTGTTCATGCTAAGAACCGTGTACAGTGCTTCGCTATAGCATGCTTTAACCAAAACCGAGCAAAAAGGTTAAGGGACCCGAAGAAAGTTCAGTCAAGACCTCGATTGTAGTAAACAAGGTAATGTCTCGTTTTCTTCATGTGCGTCTCTCAGCGTGATACTTCGAATTATTAACGAGTTTGTGCCGTCGCACTAGGCGAGATGGTCAAAGCGACTTGTCATGTAACTGGAGAAACGTTTCGCTAAACGGAGCGATATCTACATCATTATAATGCAGTAGTTTTAGAAGCTCATCTATTTTTTAGTACGTACCATTGGTTCCTGCTGCAAAAGTCGAAGATAACACAATGGTTCGTTTGAGAGGAGCTTTGTATGGTGCCAGAACTCGCCTGCTTCTAGTGGGGCAGTTTGTTGTCGTTTCTTTTTCTGTTTTTCTCTTTAATGTTGAAGAAGGGGACGAGGCGAAACGAGACCCCGTCAAGATTGCTTAAGAGCTCGTCGGCCTTACAGGTTTATGTTTCTGTCGGTCGTTGACCTGCTGAGTTTTGAAAACAATTTACAAAGATCCTGAATTCCTTAAAAGTTTGCAGCATGAGGTTCGTAAAAGATGGTGCGGTTAGCAGGCAGCTCCTGGAAAAAGTCTTCCCCACTCTTGACGCAGCGTAGATTGACGGTAGCGTGCGTTTTGTGGTTGGCGCAGATAGCAATGATTTTTTTATGACGCTCTAGTCTTCATTCCATGTGACGCTTATATAGCAAATTATAGTATTATAGTTCGTGCGCCCATAGTAAAACCATCTATCAGGGCTCCTGACAACACACCATTAAAAAAAATGTTTGCTTGGGTTTATGGGACGTCTGCAGCATAAAATAAATCATGACCGGGAGGTTCAAACCCTAAAGTAATAGGGCACTTCTGGGAACTCGGTTACTGCCCAAAGGCCCCAACGTCGAGATCCCCGGGAAAACTATTGCCGACTTAAGGGTATTGAGCTTTGGGCAGGTCTTAAAACATTTAAATTCTAAAATTCTATCAAAATTAAAAACATTCATATATGCGGTACTAACAGAAAGACATATTTGAACTCTATAAATTGGTCACCGAATGCATTAAAACTTTTTACGTAGTGTTTTAAATTTTTTTATTTACTTTTCCATTCTTTCGTGAGCGATAGTGCATGTTAAACTTGAGAAGCCTCTAAACAAATTGTAATATTACGCGAGGTAACCTAAAACAGTCTAAACTATACGGCTATTAATGGTATAAAGCTCTTTACATTAGCAATTTTGTCAACCATTTAAAAGAAAACGAATTATCCTACTAATTGATGTATATAGTATAAAGTTTAGAATCAAAAACACACAATCCATTAGGACGTTATGTAATTTTTTTACGACTCTAACCCTAGCTTCATAAATACTTCTTTAAAAAGGAAGGAGCCTTGCTATACCTTGTAAAAAATTTATAGCCTTGATATAAGAGCTCAGTCATTTTGTAATAGACTAATAGACCCCTGCCCCCTGATTTGGTCAGTGACTAAAAAAAATTATAAATTGTTTAGCTATAAATGAGCTAGTGTGTTCGTAAAGAATTTGACAACCACGTAGAGGCTATGAAAACAATAAACAATATAGAGCCTAGTTTACGCCGAAACGTACAAGGGTGTGGACAATATCTTAGTAATTTTAAATAATTTACTACGGTTTGTAATGGGTTTTCCCCTCCTAAAAGTTACACCAATCGGGGTAGCCTCTTACTATATTATCAAGAAAAAGAGAAAAGTTTTAATGAAAAGAAGAACAAGAAGATGCATGATAACTGCCGCCTTGTAGAGAAAGGAATTTACGTGCAGCACATTATAGCAGGTATTACTTAATTCTTTAAGCGAAAGAGATTTAGTGATGGGGCCCTTCTTTACCAAATATACTCAGTACGTGTCCGCTACAAGCTTTTTTAAGTGTTCAAATTTAAAGCTTCGAAATTATATAGCTCAACCGATGGAGAAAAGCAGGCTGTCGTTTGATGCTACCAACAAGTTGAAGTATATACTACAGAGACAAATAGTTGAAACTGTTCATGAGGAATTTAATTGGGTTTAATAATTAATACGCCGTGATCACGGTAAAACGCAAAAGGATTTAACAGAACACTGAAATATATATCTAGAAAAAAATAACGTGAGGATCTATAATTTTGTTTAAACACCCTTTTAATCTTTATATGTTTGCGCCACTAAGTCATTACATTGAAAAGCGTGACGCTATTAGCAAGGCACTCCAACACATGTTGAGAGTGATAAGTTAACCCCTTATAGGTTACTGGTTACTATGCCTATCACTTGTCGCCTAGGTTCAATGTGCAAGAGTGGGTCTATGGAACTTGACTCTAAACTACAAGCTCGGTCTCTTAAACAATTCTTGGTAAGTTTGAGATCATGTTCTAACGGATTAGGTAGCAACCAACAAAACATGTGGTAAATTTAGTTACCAGTGAACGTTAAGTTAAGCATGAGTTGCGTGATCTATATTTATTGGACAAAAAATTGTTTATTCTAGATGTAAGTTTATTTTTGGTTAAATAGGTAAGTAAACATTTTTTTCACTGTTTTATATTAATTGGGATATATAGAACCAATTTTGAAAACAAATATTGGACTTTAAAGTAATAGCTTCAACATAGGGAGTGATTTCGCAGAAAAAAAACAAATCTACTTTAAGCACCAGAGTTGGCCTTTTAAGGGTTAAAACGAATTATAGGTAGTAAGAACTTGGATTTTTTGGCGGATCAAGTGTGCAAAGAGTACGATACCTGAATAGATATGGTAAGAGAGGCTGTGGACGGGCGAGGAGTTTCTCCTTGATAGATGCAGTACAGAGGCCGTTAGAATTTTTATCAGCAGGTATTAGGTTAACGAGCGAATTTTGGAAAGATTTGATAATATTTAGTTATAGTCGAAAGGTATTCTATTTTTTGTTTTAAAGGAGGAACGCTGGATAGGACATAAAATGTTTTCACATTATGTTAAAGTTGCAGTTATTTAAGTAAATTTATTCTTGAGCGGCAATCAGTCCATAAAAACAAGAGTAGGCTCCTTTCATAGTTAAAAATAAAAACATTTTTCAACTACCAACTACCATTATTCCAACGAAAATGCTGAGAGAATTATTCAAAATTTGAACAGTGCTGCTGAAAACTAGTTTAACAAGATTGCTTAAATAAATGTTTAATAGATGAGTAACGCATATATAAATATAACAGGACTCCAATATAGTGAGAGCTGCGCCTGTTAATTGTATGTTGTGGTTTTCGATTGTTAGTAGTTCCGATTCATTAGTGGACTGTCTGTAAATTATTGCGGTGGTAGGTTTCCGTTCTAAGTCTGTGTGTTTCAAATCGGATGGTCTCGTTTTGGTCCTTCCTTTAAGTGTTATGTGTGTCTACGGATAGCTTTGATGTTTTTAATCTTCTCTTTTACGTCTCTGCGTGCGTAAGGTTTTATCGAGGAATAAAGGTTGATATTACCGTTTTATTTTGTAGTTGCTCTTCTTGGGTTTCTTTTGTCGATCTTCCTCGTTATGTTTTCTCATTGTTGTCATTTTTGTCACATCTAGGTGCTATTTGTTCTTTGCTATCTCCTATTAGTTTCAAGACTTTCGTATTGGTGGGGTGTAAGAGTTGTACCCTACCGTTTTTGGTGTTTATCCAGCTGAAAGTGTTAATTGGATTAATCCTTTAAACTTGTCATCTTGGTCTACACCGTCGTTGGTCGTTTGATCCTATCTCGGAAGTTTTGAAAATTCAAGGTTTCTTAATTTTTTCAGTTTTTTAGTAGATTCGTTATCCCAGTAAAGTGACATTTTTTTATCGCCCTCAGATCCTTGTGTTGATGAACAAACGATACTCCCCGTTCTTTATAAAATACTTCTTTCATGTAATTAAGGGATATGTATTTTTCAAAGCACACAACGTTTCGTGATTTTTCTAATGTCCTGGTCGTCTGCGTAAACTGAGGTTTAGTAGTCATTGCATTTATTGTGCGGTCTCCCGACTTGGTTTTGTGCCTCAATTTTTGTATTTTGACTTTGCAACCAAGGGGTATGAAATGTTAAATAGGTATCTATTTAATACTTTGGGTGATATTTGGGGTTTTAGTTTTGTTGTTACGGGGGAGTCGAATAATAATGAATACTGCTTTAATGATCGGCCCTCGTCCCAGTTTTCCGGGCCTAATTCGGATTGTTTTAGTAAACACTCCTTGTCAGTCATATTGCAGTGTTTAAATATATCTTTCACTGGACATATTATAATTGCAAAAAAGCATATGCTTAATTACGTTTAGATTACAACGAATATAATTATCAACGCTATTTACAATAAACAGAGATTTTGTCTTGCTTATACTTTTGTTATTTGTCTTTTATTTATCATCATCTAGGTGCTCTTATATTCAACTATTTTGCCACTTTTTCTTTATCAAACTGATCTTAAACGGATGAAAATTTTGTGTTGCCCTCAGAAGGGATACTTAGAGGTCTTCAATAATTTTAAGCTGTGGCTTCCACTCATAAATAACATAGCGACAGTGAAGGCTGTATGTGTATGCAGTGTAGCCAATATTGACATACGCATCGACTGCCTGGGCCTACACCTAATCGGTAATAGCGTTGCACTCCCTATCAAACGCCGTACTTTGTTCGCAATGATACTCTACACTGCGCTGCGAATTACAGACTGGGCCACAGAGTAGATGCTTGCCCCTTCTCCACGCTATCATTAAGAGGAAGAAGTCGCCTACAAGAGTCAAGAGGCAGCGCACAACACCCTAGTCAGCGTGAAGCACTTCTAGTTTATAAGAATGTTGCGAAGACCAAAATTTTAAGATAAAACTTAACTTATACTTGCAGGCTACTAGACCTGTTTAAAAGCTCGAGTATTCGAAGTTAATAACCTGAACAAGAACCAGGAAACGCCACTTTAGATTGGATGTTTTCTCTTTTGTATCACGCACCGTGATGAGTTAGAACCCGCCGCCCCAGTTAGTGCAAAGATTTAACACAGATCCTCCTTTGAAGTGGTTTTACTCACAACAGTAAAATAAATTATAAAAAAGCATTCTTTGCAGTTTGAAATAAGTGTTTTTATATAGTAAAAAAAAAAATTTCTATAGCTCAACCTATTGAGTCGAACACTTGCTAATAGTCAAGACAAAGCCTTCTCAGCCGCTACTAAATTCTCTGGGTTAAAGTCAAAGTCACTGAAAACTGAGTGCTTCACCTCCTCAGCAACTGGTATAGGTATGGTTTCTACTTTACCTTCACCTCATAAACAGACCAAACAAGTACCTGAGTTACTATGCCAATAAGGGTTATTAAGATTTAAATTCTCGTAACTGTATGGTTTCGGCGGTTTCACGGTCTTCTTCTTTATAGCACCCCAATCTATCCCGGAGAACCATTCATGCTTCTTTATGTCGACTAACCCATTTATTGATCCAAGCCGATACCTTACAAAGCCAGTAGATTTTAGTGATTGAAAAGAAAGCAACTAAAAATTACCTTCTTTGAACCTGAAGAAGACTGCATATAAGATCTTTTAAAGCTGCCGAAAGATAATATGGCAAATTAAATTTGCCGCTAAGAATCACCTTAAATTGAGCCTGTATTAATTTAGACGCATAAGGCAGGTTTACAATTAATTTCGAAAATGCAGACGGAGTAGAATCTAACTTTCCGACAACGCAGATCACTAGTGAAAAAAGGGGCTCGCCCGACAACCATTTTATAAAGCAGAACTCCTATGCTCCACACATCAGCTTCAAAGCTGTAGCCGACTCCCATAATAACCTAAAATTGATAAGTTTTAATAAAGTTTTTTTTTTTTTTTTCAAAATTAAAATATTAACGTTTGTAAAGAAAATTACCTCAGGCGCCAAGTACTCAGTGGTACCACAGCAAGTATACGTTTTTTCCCCTTTAAAAAGTTTTTTGGAAAATCCATAATCTATTAACTTGATATGTCCTTTTTTATCCAGGACTATGTTCTCAAGTTTAATATCTCGATACACTATTTGCTCTTTAGTGTGCAAATACTCAATGGCAACTAAAAGTTCGGCCACATAAAAGCGAGCTCTACCCTCACTAAATTTTTGATGGGGCGCCACCTCTAATTGGTACGCTAGCTCACCCCCAGACACAAATTCCGTGATGATGTAAAGCATGCTGGAATCTTGAAAAGTTGCCAAAGTTTTCAAAATGAAAGGGCATGGGCATCTGCTTAATACTCTTAAAACTTGATTTTCTTGCCTTATCAAATTTTCATGTTTACAGTTAGTCACAAAAAGTTTTTTAATAGCCTTAATGACGACCGTCTCACCTGTGAGTTTGTGTTCGCAGAGGTAAACTTTACCAAAAGCTCCCAGCCCTATTAGTTTGACAACATTAAAGTGATTAAACTCTATAGAGCCCTTTCTAAGGAACTTATAGGCAAAGCAGGTCTTTGGCCAAGAAAGATGGAAATGTTCTATCATATTACGTATAACTTTAAAAATCTTAACATCACGAAACGAAGTCATATTATTGAAATGACACTGGGGTAACAATGATTAAAAAAAAACGTTAAAGTTCATAACTTAATAACTAAATTATTCACCTTACTGTTTTACATTACCAAAACTACGCCTTTAAATATTGTATACCCCCCTTTTTTACATCATTAAAAGTTATAAAAGTTTTCTTCAATGATTTATTTCCTAATATATCGTTTCGTTTAACAAAACTTCTAAACCAATGGTACTAGATAATTTTAAATTCGATGAATAATTTGCTAAAGCAAAAAAAATTAATCTTTTTATTGCGACACAGAAATATAATGTTTATGGGGCGTAAAAGGCTAAAATAGTATACTTAGATTTCTAGCAAAAAAAATGTTGTGTGAAAGTACATTATTCGAACACTAAAGCGTTAACTTTATAGTCATGTTCATAAAACCATACACTTAGCTAAATTTCCTACTCCAATCATTACACTAAAAAAAAGTTATATCAATACTTTAGTTAATATAGTTATTTTACAATATAATCTCGCAAATAATAAACGGCAATCCCTACATATCCAATAGCGTAACTAGAATGTTAAACATTTTTCCAGTTCCAACTAACCTTGCGCGGCATAACATAGTGTACAAGTTTATATTATCTTTCTTGCGACCACATAGTTGTTCGTTTCCTTTATTAGACGCCAAAATTTAGTACAGGAAGGATAAGTCTCATCGTAATATTATAAAAGTAAAAAAAAGAATAGAACTTTGTATAAAAAAGTTTATGATTAAGAAAGCAACAAACTTAAAAAGTATAAGACAGGTATATCAAAGTATATAGTTTAAAATCCGAGGTATAGAGAGGCTGTGCGGTTAATCTTAATTATTGATAGAACCCATATAATAATTAAAAAATTTATAGGATAGTTCTAATAAATAAGGAAAAAAAATTGATCATGAGATATAAAAGTAAAACATAGTAACCGTTAAACAAAGCTATAATAGACTCGGTAAAAATAACATTTTTTAAGAGCCAATTTAACCTAATATTTAAAATATGTAATTTTTCATAGTGCTTAAATACTGGGCTAATGAAATGTGTTCAGGCTTAAAATTTACATTCCTACTCATATGTAATAAACAAAATTTTTAAAATACTTTTTAGATGGAATTTACTAATTTTATAAATTAAGGTCAATTCCAGAATTTATTCTGATATCGCGTCTTAAACTCTCAGCCCACCTAAAAGGCAAGCCAGCGAAATTGAAGCAATGAAGTACTTTATTAACTTTTCAGTTTGTAATTTATGCTTTAGCGTTTTCCATGGATTATTACATTTATTGCACTACGACGTAGCTTATAATAACAAAAAATAAAATTAATTATTATAAGTACTTAAAACCAAATATATACGAAGGGATCTGGTATAAACTAAAATTTAAATTTAAATTTATATTCTTTGCCTCTCCCTTTAAAATTTAAAGAAAAGTTCCGAAGAAAAAAAAATATTTTGTGTAACCTAATAGAGTACTTTTTTTACGTGATTTAAATAAGCAAACGCAAACCTTACGCGGTGGTTTATAATTCACGACCAAGAGTCCACCAAATTACGCTCCAGTCCCCCTTGAGGGAACCTAATTTTTGAATGTGTAAAAACCCCTCTTTGATGCTTGCTCTAATATGTACTGTGTAGTAGTTTTTTGAAAAGTAATGACTACGTTCCTTAATTTTTTTACATACTAAAGGAATTTCTTCATATCAGATTATTAATTATGCAAAAAGGGAATTAAAATAAATTATACATTTAGCTATTAAATTCTTAAATTACTAAATAATTGTAACTGAAGTAATAATAGCTTTTTATAATTTATTAATTGTCCCTTATGGTAACTGGGAACTTTATTATTTTGTAAGTTATGAAAATTAACTGCTGCCTCTCTTATTAAATTTTTTAAAGGTATAATTACTTCTTGTACAAAAAGTGCCTACTAATACTTACTTTGAAAATTAATATAAAGGGGCAACTGTTGAGAGTTAACACATGTTAAATGCGTAAGCACAGCTGCGTTTAATGTAGAGGTTATCGCTCTATTTAGCCTTTTGTTATTTAAGATACAGTGATGTTTGAACATGTAAACTGTTAAGCTGGTGTATAATGTCGCTTTTCCTATCTTATGCTTTGAAACCAACCATTACGCAATGAAGTTACTTAGAACTAGTTATATACTTATTACTGAAGTTATCGCTCACTTTCTTATTTTAAAGAGCAAACTTAGGCAGTCGATAGAAATTGGATAAAAAGGCATCCAGAAAGAAGGATCACCATCTCTATAGAAAAAAATAGTTTACCTTGTCTAGCTAATAAGAAATCTTAAAAGTAACAAGTAAACCATAAAGGAGTCCTAAACGTCAGAGAGTAAGAAACTTTTAAATATAAATTTTTTTTTATGGTCTAAATTTTTACTCTTTCGCTTCTAAAATTGGCATGCGTTTCTCTTCCATGAGGTTTCTCAGCTTGTCGCTAAGTGTTAGTATGGTAGCCATTTTCATTGTTAGCAATGTCATACTATAACTAATCCTGTTTTTAGAGTTTAAACAGATATTAAGGCTACCATCTTAAGGTGAGGGAGCTGGTTCTGTTACTTTCTTTATATGAAGCGCCTATCGCATATTTCCTCTTTAAGTTATTTTTGCTTCTAAATCCAATTTGCAAGTTCTCTTTCGTTTCCTAACTTCTATTTACGCCTGTGCACAGCTTTGGTATAGTTGTGCATTAGCTTCACTCTTGCTCTAAGATCTTAGCTTTGTTAATATTATTGTTTAAGTTCACCTTTGGGACTTATTATCTTCACAGAACCTTGAGATCTCCAGAATCGTAACATATCCTCTGCAATATTCAGATCCCACAGCTTCTAGTTCTTGTGGATCCTTAATATTTATATATAATTGCAGTATATCTTTTTTATTAAGAGTTACTACAACTTTTATTTGTCAAAACTTGGTACTAATAACTTCTTAAAGTTAAAGGCAAAATATACTAGTAAATAGTAAATTCTATTAGCTCGTAGTCCAACTAATGAGCTTTTTAATCTTGACCAGTTAGCTTCCTTGTTTTTACAATAATTTTTTTTTTGGCCCTTAACTTCACGTATTAAACGAGGAAAGCCCTCAATATCGGTATGTTTTCTTTGTCAAGTTATTATTGATTTTATTTGACTAAAATCAGGCGGCTCTAATGCAATAAAGTTCGTAAAGAATTTTAATTTTGTTTAAGTAAAGAATAACGCGTTATTTTTGACAGATATATACGGTTAAAGAAGTGGCACAAATAAGTAAAAGCTTAAAAAGTCTCTTAAGCTATATCCTATAAGTTTTAAGCTAACTCTAGTAATATAGTTGAGACAGAGTATAACAAGGGTTGGATCGTGACTTGATTTGTTTATTTTGACTGTCCTTAGATGTTCGCAAAAATTCAATATTTAAAGAGAAAAAACTGCATATTTATCAATTTCGTAGAAGTGTTTTTGAAGCCTTAAGTGTCTCTATAACCATACAAACATTAACCTAAATGTGATGGATGCAGGCGCGCCAGCCCGGATTGCAATTACCCTTAAAAATTAAGATCCAACTTGAGTTTAATAGCAAAGAAAACCAAAACCTACAATTCTTCCTTGTTAGCTGAGTTTCACGAACGTGAGAGCATATTAATATTATTAAAAAAATTTGAAAAATTATAATTAATTTATTTAATTATTTATTAATATAATGTTAAATAACTTAAGATTAAAAATGAATTTCATATTTATAAAAAGTTAGAATATGACGCACAGTAAGGTTTAGAACTCTTTCCCCCTCGCCAGTGAGCTTACAGGCTTTTGATATGAAGTTAAACGAAGAAAGATGTAACGCAGAATTTTTTTTTAATTCCGTTCCTCATAATGTGGTTCACCTATTACTTAACGGTTCTTTGTGTGTGTGTATGTGGGAGGCAATGAGGAATAATCGTTTTATTATATTCACATTATTGACAATAAAAACTTGTTTTGGTACAATACATTCTGCTAAATTATACTTTACTTTTTATTGCAAGTTAGTTAGTATAAGCTTCGCAAACAAGCCAAACGGCGCGGGATGCACATAAAATTCGACTTCATTACTTGTTATAATTTTGTTTAAGTTTTTGATGAAAAGTGCCTTATTTTTATATGCGTAATGGATAAATAACGGAAGGCATACTTTAAAGAACGACCTCACAACTTTTAAACTTGTGAATACTTTTCTTTAACAAAACATTTTCAGCCGAAAGCGCTCTATCCACAATAATGCTTACTGTAATGGACTGGTCATTAACATCAGTAGTAAGTGAAGGTTTTTACATGGAGTTTAATTCAATAACTTAGTATACACGATATTTTAGACACAACTTAAAACACGAGTGACAAAAAACATACAAAAAATACAAAACACAAATAGGAAAACAAAAATAAAACGTATATTACAAAAAACATATTGTATAATACATTAAGTATAAGGTACACAACCATAAAACACATACACAAACACAAAAAGAAAGCAAAAAGAAACAAAACACTAACCCTCTAAATTTTCACAGGAAAATAATTTGTATTTAATCGAATCAGAAACCCGAGAAACAACCAACAAAATGGTACAAGGAAAGAGAAACTAAATCAACGAAAAATTTAATTTGTCATACATTAATTGGATACAAACTATGAAAAATTTTATTTGGTTTCACTTAGATATATTGTACATATATGGAAGCCTATTTCAACTTTTTGTAAAGGTATAAATACAGTCCGAAACTGGTCAATAAAAGCATTCTTAATTTTAATATACTTATTTTATACGTTTCTTTTACATAAATTTTTTTTGAAAGAGTTAGACAATTCTGTAGACTTAATAAACTTTAAAAATTGAAATATTTAGTTCTCTCAATGAGAAACACCATTTTTGGCGTGGCACGGAATTTTCATGGCGACAAGGTCGCTTCTAAATTAGACAAAAAATAATTATTTTTAATTAAAATGCAGTCTGCAATAGAGTATCTACTAATAAATTCAATCTGTAGGTTGGTCTAAATGATTCCCTAATGCTGCTCAACCAGTACATGTCCCTTCAAACCCCTAACCTTCACAAAATTACTAAACAGGTGCACTCGCTTAAAAAAGTGGGCCGTAAATCGAGTTATATTTCCTCTTTAAGGGTGTCTTAATATTAGAAATTATAGCCGAATGTACAATTCAATGAATGACGCGATCTTGTCGGGAAGTTTTATTGCATGTATTGCTAGCAATATCTATAGTAGTATATGAAGGTAGAGATAGTTAAAACTCTTAGCTATACGCGCTATTCCTTAAAAAATTATATAGCCTCTTAATAAATAAATATAGTCCAGTATGCTGATTACACAGCCTTAAATTTTAGTCCACAAGCTGTCTGGCTAATTTGAGAGTATTAAGCCATGATTTCAACTTGGAGGTTAACAGTTAATGCGTCAAAAAGTAACTATGAATATAACAAGAAAGGGGTTATATCCTAGGCCCCTGGCGTCACTAAACCAATGCCCTTCCTCAAAGTAAGAACGTTAGATATATTGGTGTTAGGCTTGAAGGCAGACTAAGCTAGATTCCATATCTTTCTTAAGTCATTCCTAAAACCAGACAAGCTATAACCATTTTATATCCCAGCTTATGCAGGAAAAGATCATTGTATTTGAAAAACAAGCTTCTGTTATGCAAATGTAATACGCCGATGTTGATCAAAGCCTCTACTGCCTGGTCCTATTCCTCAAGCAAACATATACATCACAAATACTACTAAAACGAATTCTGAGAATCGTGGTGCACAACAGCCAAATACACAAGAGAGAGTAACATCCGGTCTAATCCAAGTATATCTATAAAAAAAAATTTCTCAGAATTGGCATACTATAGAGCCCAGTACCCACCATATGCCAATAAGGCAGGCTCTCGATTGTTGGCAAACCAAGTACTCGCGGTTAAAACATTTCTTCGCTTTAATAGAGGGGAAATATGGCCTAAGATTATAATTTATTTTATTAACTTATTGATATATATTTTTTTATAGTACAAAGGTATCAAAACTTAACTATACCATAAAATGTAATATTGTCTTTATTGATATATACTAATTAGCTTCAATGATAAAGCGCACATGTTTCTGCTCGTTGATGGCGCAACGAATCATTAGAGAAGTCGTGACTTCCGCATTCTCAATTATATGGAAGGGAAATATTAAGCAGCAATTAATTATATTTCATGCCTGTAGTAAGCCAGTGCTATAAAAAATAAAAGAATATGTGAAGCAACTTTATGTGGCTACAAGGCGCGAAGGCAGAAAATTAGGTAGGCTGGGCTTTCAAACTAAGTTGAAAGTCTATGATAACAATAAAACCTATTTAAGATATAACCTTATTTTGTCCAAAATATTGTAAGTTAACACAGCTTCTCAAAGGCCAAGTAGCCCTATAAATCATAGCCTTTTCAAATAATAAATAAACGTACAGCACAGGTGCGCAAAGCCGAATATCACAACTCTAACTTCTCTTATATATGTTGTAGTAGCATGTAAAGTAGTTCACGAGGGCACTTAGCTTGCTTAGCGGATTCTTCCATAGCTTATCCTTTATATTGTCTTTACTAACAAGGCTCTTCTTTCCAGTAAGTAAATGTAACGTGGATAAGCAACTCTTCATACTGGCTTATGGCAAAGCAACGTTCTTTGTTTGTGTTTGAGTAAAAATTATATTATGCTTATCAATGGCTACTTCCTTCGTTTATCCCACAATTCGAGATGCTATGAAAACTACAGGTAAATATTGAGACTACGCATAGCAAGGACTTAGATTGTTATCTAACTTTTAAAAAGCAAAAACAAGTGATATTTTGAACTTCCTAATAAAAATTTATTTTCCTGTATAATTTCGAGGTGGGTAACGAAAATCTCTTCTCAATTTTAAAAAGATTTTTGTGGCGAATTTAGTTCGCTTCACTTTCATAGCTAACTTGATTTAAAAATAAAAACCTTTTCTAAATCTGAGCAAGGACTGCACTTAAACGAGTTAAGCCTGCAACGTATCTGCAATACAAAAGGGGGTCACTCTTCCCTTCGAGATCTAAGGGAATGTTTTCCTTAGGATGCGCTCAGTATTTATGGGTAATAACTTAGTAAACCTTCCTTGCGTACTAAAAACTTATAAAAGTTACAATAAAAAATATCAAAACCAACACTAAACTTGCTTATAACACTTTAAAATAAGCAAATAAAGCATTATAAAGTAAAGTAAAATTAATAAAAATAAGCTCCAAATAATAGTTCTACCAATAACATTTATTAACTTATATTTATGAAGTCTATTGAAGCCTTAGCAACTTTAAAGGGTTCTTTAGGCTTTGTGACTTCGCACGTCATCATTCCTTCCTCCTTGTTGAGGTCTAAAGATGAGTTGCTTTTGGTATAAAGAAGCGAGTAAGCATAAAAGTAAGAAAACCAGAAGTCCAGCCTACAGTAAAGTTTGCACCGAAGGGACCCTCAGCACCAACATCAAACTCAATCTCCGCTATATATATTATACATAATAGAAGATCAAGCGGGAAAAATCGTTACAATACCACTGGGCCCGGTCAACCCTGAACAAGTTTGTTTCTCTCTAGAAGCTAAGTAAAAAATATATCCCATATACAGTGCTCTGAATAGTTTAATAAATAAATAATACAGACCTGAAAGACAAGAAGAAGTTATAATATTGACTTTATTTGAGCTTAAATAGCACTTGATTTGTACTTTATCACCTAAAAAAGTAAATAAAGTCAAAAATCAAAAAGAAACGTATTTTACTATTATTGGAAAAGTTCATGTAGAAATTAAAACCTTATTATTTAAGTAAAAAAACTTAAACTAAAGTGTACTTGACCAACTAAAAAAATACTAAAAGGATACTTATTACTACTTGTAATAACAAGAAAACAGTTTAGAGAAAAACACAGCCTTGGATCTTGTGACCAATGCCTTCTTCTGAGTACTTTGGATTAATTTGCACCAACACGAAAGCGCAACTTTTAGATCCACCGCATTCTTCTTTAGAAGCCTTACCGTAGCGCATTGTTATAGCTAAAAGAGTCGCGGAAAATATAATTTTTTATATGAAAGGTTAAATATTTCTGCCAAAAAGTCGTATTTATAAAGTAAAAAAAAAAAGAGACCAAGGTCACAAAGATCGGTGTAGCGCGGAGAGGAGGGAAGGGTGGAGCCTAAGAAAGTTAAAATAGCACAATAAAGAGGAAATTAAAGGTGTAAAAAGAGGCCACTTTTTATCGGGGGAAGGGAAACAAGATAAACGGTTATCATTATAGCTAACCAAGCAGCCAAAAACTGTTTACAAATAAAAAAGACAACAGGCAACATAATATAAAAAACTTAAGATAAGGTATATATAATACTAAAACGAAGTACCGAGTAAAAAATAATATAGTAACCAATTAACTTCAAGCAATTCTTGTAGTCACCTTAAAATATATAGACAGAATTCAATTTAGTAAACTAGCGCCTAATCACAGAGGAGGCTGTACGTTCTAAGCGAGCAAGAAAACTATATAATTAAAATAATTGTCAACTTTTCATTTACGACTTAATCTTATTATGCCTTTACTTACATTTAGAAAAAGGGTTTCCTAAACGAAGCTTCATTGCCTTATACAAAGTTATTTTAAGTGGTTTTTTTTTATCCTGTCTCAAAATTTTTTACTCTCCAGCCAGAAAGTTATAAGAGTTACGCACTAACAAGATCGGTTAAACAACAGCTGAAACGAGAAGTAGGGTAGTTGAAGACGAGGTCTTATATGCGATTCGTGAACAGTAATAAAATGATTAAGAGAACTCATTGAATTATTAATTAGGTTTGTAATGAATAACTTGTAATATATCTTAGTTGCTTAATACTTTTATTAACGCGTATAATCACAGAGTTTTTGCTCTTCTAAATATTTAAATAGTAATAAATGCTTAATATATTTTAAACAAAAATTTCAATGTGGACGACATTTGTTAACGCTCCAGTCAGCATGGCAATATTGTTATTTAAGAGACAAATTGTAAAACCCTAAAAAAATTCAAATTTTTTAAGTCGTATTGCGGAGATCCGGCGTTAAAACCTTGAGGTTTACTTTAAAGGACAAGTTAATCGGAAAGCCCACGGTTAGCATATAGATCTGAGGCTAACCTTACGGTGGAAAGAGCAAAGGTTGAATTGGAAAGGAAATTATTTCTTTTCGAGAATTTTTTTAAAAGCAGTCATAACCTATGCTTCGGTTGCATAGACTTATTATTTAATACCAACATTGCAGGTTGTGCAAAATAGGTTTTTTTTTAATGTTCTTAAATGCGCTTTGGTTTTCTACTTTGCGTGTTGAAAAGTGGGTCATCTCGGCATTCTTTTCGCCATTCCAACTGCAGGGGAAGTTATTTTGTTTTTAAGAATCGTGTTGAACTCTAAAAAATCACTCGCTCATACCACGTGGTATAAGTGATCTTGGTTTATAGCTTTGGCCATAGTCGAAATCGAGACTCTGCTGCCTCTTTCTCCATGTTGTGAAGTAGTCTCGTGGTTATTTTTTATACCATGCGTTTATTATACCAGTGTTTTTACAGCTTTCTCACATTTTTTATATCTTGTATTTTTTCCTTTAAAGGTATAATACCCTTTCTCTACGGGGCACTTTGTTGATCTCTTCTCCTCTTATCTCTGTCGTTAGGCGGTGGGAAAGCAACCAGTTTGTAATACAGTAGAGGGTTGTATATACTTATACGGTAAATTATTCGATTTTTTACTTTAAGATTTCAAACTTGTGTTAAAAGACCGACGGGTTTGTTATTATTGCCTTTATAGATTTATGAAGTTAACCGTGTAAGCAGAACAAGGAAGGCAAAAAATCAAGTATATAAACAATTCTATGTATTATATATATATTATATAATATATTTCTTTAATGAACTCAACAGTCAATCGTTTATTGTTCTTCAGTTTTGTTTCTTCAGGCTCTTTAGGTTACTTTTTTTTTCACGTATGGCATATAATGGCGCACTACTAGTGAGAGAGCATTAAAGAGTCTCTAATTTTTTTAAAGAAATAAAATTAAAAGGCTTGAAATCTTTTTTTTCACAAAAATCTTCAAAGATTATTATTTTTTTAAGGTGTAAGAAACGCTCCCGTGACTAATCACGTGGTTCTCGAATAAACCAGTCATGTGTTACAACCATGTGGAGTCGTAGCATGTGGAAATATACGATTAATGGTATGGGCACGGCACTTATAAAAGTTATTCCTCATAAAAGTAGATGGGGCAAAGCTAAGCCTTCCCCTACTACAATTTAATATTTTTACTTTCCTCCCTATGCTTTAATTTGGGTTTCTTTTTTTTGCTGCCTTTAGAAACTAGATATTTAACTTCAAGAACTAAGTTATGGATCTTCACAGTGACGACAGAAAAGTCATAAGGGGAGACCAACCAAAGCTGAACCGACAAAATTTATACTGAATTTTATAATGTAATTATAAGAAATTTTTACAGTACAATCATATTTAATACATTTTGGGTGCTTCAAGGAGAAGTATAGGCGAGTGGATTAACAACCGCCAGTTGTGTTGCAAGACGTATCCATGAGATGCTCATCCTCTCTATTTGATCTACAAAGTCAATAACAAATCAATTAAAGTTTTTGGCAACTATTGCAGACTCGGCTTCATTACGTAAAGTCAAGTCGTCTTTGCAAAGGTATTAGCCCGAAAGGAGTTACCCCAGACCCTCAAAAAAGTTAATATATGACACTGTTTGTATCCATATTATAGTAACCCTTTTAAAGAAGTCCCTTAGATGGCAACATTAATTTTTATAACGCAATTAATTGTAATTAATAGAGCGTAAAGCGGTTTTCTGCGCATAGTAAGATTATTGTTAAGTATATATTTCAGGAAGTTAAGAAACTTAAGTTTTACAAGTTTTTTGTGATAAAATAGTGCAAATATTAACAAAATATATTTCCGCGTTTTTATTATATGCAACCTTAATCAAAAATCAATAGGATTCTTTTGATATGGCTGTAGATGAACTGCATTATGTTTTACACTTGCGAATGATAAACATCTGGTTGACAGTATTTTCCCAATATATTTAAATTACTATATTTTTAACTTCACATTGCAACTAGCATGTAACATATCGCATTTTACGATAATTATAGATAGGATTGCACTGCACACGTTCGTCATTTCTAATTTTAACTGCTTTTTTATTCGATTTTATTGAAGTCCGAATATCTTGACAGCATAAATAAAATTATCGACTGGCAAGAAAAATAGTACAGGCTTATATAACTTTGACTTAGGGGTAAGAATCTAATACTTTTTATTTAGTCGAAGTTCTTCAGTATTAGCTTAAGTTAACTTTGAAAACGTTTATCAGATTCAACCTTTTTACTAAACTGTAAGTCCTAGCATTAGAATTTTGTTTATAAGGAAGTTGTGCATGTAACCACCAAGCCATAACAATGCGAGTTGGCACCGACGAGAGTCGAATCGCGGTCTTGAGATTAAGCGACTAGGCTTCAACCACTAAACTGGGGTGATAACTCACATTTTCGGTCGATATTTTTCTACCTAACAACTATTGTTACCTAGCTATCTTATTCATTTTTTGCACTTGTTGATTTAGTGTTGTTATATAGAAAAATTAAGCATAGGAATCGGTTGTTATAAAAGATAAGAGCAAATTAACTTCTTTCTCGGTGCTAGCTCTCTCGTGGCATTTTTGACAAATAAACATAAGTAAACCTAAGCATAATTTAACATAACTATCAAAGTATGAATGTAACAATAAAATTGAAATAATAAAATTAATAACTTAAATTGAGATATAATCAAACTGATTTGCTAAAGTTCGCAAGAAGTGGTCCTGTACGACAAATCAGGCATCAATTTGACCCAAGGTTATTGCATCTGCATGAATGTAAATAAACATCTATACGTACATGGTCATCTTGATTATTTACCCACTCTGTTAGTTGTGACTATGGTACCTACCTCTGGAGTCAATTAGGCTCGGGCAGGCATGTGCTTCGCCTAATTATACACATTTAATAAAGTTACCGTTTTCAGCTAACGTTTCAATTATATAAGACCATGCCTAAGGAAAAGTTAATAACCCTCTTGCCGATGTTATACTGAAAAAATAGGCCTAAATTTTAATATCTGTTACAGAGCCCTGAGGAAGCTGTTGAATTTAATATTTTGAAATTTTATTTTCTAAAGTAAGCTTGTTTTTTGGGCTCTTATTACCGCAACATAGACAACGATTTAGTATGAAGACCATTGCATACTTTACGTGCAAAGACGCTTATAGTTATGTGTAGCTCCTACTTTCCGTTTGTTTCTACTTATATCCAAGATTTAAGGGTACACTTAATTTAGCTATTGTTTATAATATGAGAGATAGAGGACTGCATGCGCTGCTACAATATTTTTCATCCTTTTGCTCTTAACTTCTGTGAGGTTGGTTTGGTACTCCTAGAGAATCAAAATAATCAAATAAATTTCTATAGTGTTCTTAATTCTTCGACCTCATAATTTTATTTCGTTAAATTCTATAGTATATCTTAATATTGTATTATATAACGTATGCTATTTTATATTTACTCTCGAGGGCTTAGGCCTGTAAAGTCAACATTTTCCTAGTTACCACTATAACATTGTTCCACTAAAGTTTTTTGTTAATAAATTTGGCCCACACTTGTAATTGTGTTTTATAATGGATATTAGTAATTTATTTGTAAAAAGAGTAACTTATCTGCTTTCGTATGGTGTTAAATCTTTAACTTTTCTTTTTTAAAGCCGTATTTTGTACATTTAAGTGGCCAGCGAATAGCAAGTGAAAACAATTAGAAAAATTCTATAGCAGTATTTGGAGGTAAAGAAATATGAATTTGCTTTTAAAAACCTTTTGTAGGCTACTTAATAATCAGAATACCCCCCCTTTTTTCTCATGAGAATTTATAATTTTTTCACAAAACTTTTCACTTAATTAAAAATATAGCCATGTATACCTTGCATGGCTAAATTAAGATTAATGTAAACAACCGCTAATTTTTTGTATGCCCACGAGGCAGTTGCCCATCTAAATTAGAAGCTGAGTTGTAATATGGTTCATATAACATCATGAATACTGCGAGCAAATATTAAAAAAGTAAAAAAAGAAGGTAGCGAGTTAAAATTGAAAATAAACCAAGCAAAAATCGTGCCAAAACGTACTAACTAGATAAAGAAATCACTACAATACCAATAGAGCACAATAGCAGAAAGAAGAAAACCAAGTATGACTAATAATATTAGTTTTAATATGCTTACGGCTGAAATTAATTAGAATAACAATTATATTGTGTATTATTTATTTATATATATATATGTATTGAAAGGTGAGGTTTATGTTTTTATTAAAAGCATTATAGTGCATTTGCCCTTATTTTCATATATCCCGTTAAAATATAACTTTTTTAAAACTTTGAGCCAACTACAATTAGATTCGCCTCTAACCGTATCTCTAGTCATATGATAATTAATGATGTGTACCTTTAAGTACCTCAGTTAAGTCTTTTAATAACCTTCATGTGTTACTGTAGTTATAAAAAAAACTTTGAAGAGGCTAAGTCATAACTCGCTTACAACCCTAAATATTTACTTGTCTACAACATAAAAATCTTATTTTTTGAGCTGCTAATCAAGGGCGCCTCGCAAAATGAAGGATAATAGGTTGTTTATTTTATAAATCTTTTCTATTAAATTCAAAAATGTTTTCACTGGTGCAAGTAATATAATTCGACGGTATTATTCATATTTTCTTTAAGAGTTCGAACCTTTAAAAAAGGAGTAACCCCTGAAAAGTTTGCATATGTACATGAAGGTTAAAAATATACTAAAGTTTAAGAAAGTTACACAGATTTTATTATATAATAATAAGTATTTATATATAACACAAGTAAAACAATAATGTATCGAAGTTAGCAGAAATTAATCGTAAGTATAGCAAATGAATTGAATCTCGAATTCAATTTTTGGTGGCAAGGTTATAAGAGACGTTCTCTCCTATTTTTACTAATTCGTTACATGGTATTTCTTGGTGCTCAAACAAGTAAGCAAATTCCACAAACTCAAGCTTATAAGCAGATTAGTGGAGTACGTATCCTTATTTCGTTTTTATTCTTAGACCCCTATCCTTCCAGCTTTTTTGACCTAAAATTATTATCCTAGTAGTATAATAAGATAGTGTCTCAAGCGAAAGGCGAGAGCGTGAGTTATTTTCAAACCCTCGGTGGGAACGGGGAGCTTACGACTTAATTTATTGTAGTATAATATCTTGAATGGTTATAAAGTTCCTCGAACATTCTAAACCCTCAGTACAACGAGAATGTTCCGGAATAATAGGGAAAAATATGGACACTAAAATTATCAATCCAAGTAAATCAACCCTCCTTTCCCTTAAGTTTTTATTTTTTTTGTTGTATTTTATTATTATAGTACTCGTATAATTCTTACTATTATTACCCCTACCAAAAGAAAAATGAAGTTTGCATTCACTATACGATTTGAAGGAGCTCCTGTAAGCAATTTATGTTGAAATTTGAAGAAATATATTTTATTTTTGCGCAACTAAGTACTGGCATAATAACATTTTTGTGGTAAACTTATTTTTCTGAAAAGTACAGTCTTTGCATATTGCCGGTAAAAGAGTGTATATCGTATCGAGGTAAAAGCAACTCTAAAAGTGACAGTATTCTCAACGGATATTTGGTGCTATTGTTGTCCACCAGCTTTTTTTTTAATGTACAAAATGATTAATTCTGATTAAAATATAATATTTTTTATATTTTTTAGCAGAAAAACGCTTACAACCTTTGTTTTATCAGTTAGAAACCTCTCTTTGGCACAAATTTTTGAGAAATAAACAAATAAAGGATAAGTAACTAACTTTCAACAATAAATGCTAAAGGTGCTTTATTAATCTTCCTACCTTTGAATGTTTAAAA